AACACCTTCCATTCTCTATTTTTAATGACTATTTGTGTAATTTTTGGTAAAAAATGTTATTATTGACTTTTTAGAAACACCTTGAATCACAGTGCCCTGTATGTTTTTTAGTAAGAGTAATGAAACGTATAGTTCTAAAGTACACTTGATGTATCATAGTGGTCTGTTTTATTAGTTCCCGTTCGGACGAAGTCCGAAAACGGGGACTTATAATTCGGTCTTCGTCCGTGCGTCCGTCCGGAGTCATATCTCAGAATCCCTTGGACCGATTCCGTTCATTCTTTGCATGTGCCTAGTACTTTATCTGGGACATATGCACATGCAGTGGTTTAGCGATTCGATTCAAAATGGCCGACTGGCCAAAATGGACATGCTTTGTCAGTTTTCATTCAAATTTGGTACATAGATTATACATGTTAGGATACATGTCCATGACAATTTATTTCACAATTGCATCAAAGATGGTCGACTGGCAGCCATCTTGTTTTTTGAAAATGTTGTATTTTGGACATGCTTTGTCAGTTTTCATTCAAATTTAGTACATTGATCATACATGTTAGGATACATGTCCCCGACCATCCGTGAGTTCCTGAGTCTGTCCGTTCGTCCGTCCGTTCGTGCGTCAGTCTGTCAATAGTAATATTTCAGAATCCTGTGGACCGATTCCGTTCATTCTTTGCATGTGCCTATTACCTTATGTGTGACATATGCACATGCAGTGGTTTAGCGATTTGATTCAAAATGGCCGACTGGCAGCCATCTTGTTTTTTGAAAATGTTGTATCTTGGACATGCTTTGTCAGTTGTCATTCAAACTTGGTACATAGATTATACATGTTAGGTTACATGTCCAGTACAATTTATTTCGCAATTGGATCAAAGATGCATCTTATTTTGTTTTTTATGCGGTATCTTGGAAGTGCTCTGTCAGTTTTCATTCAAATTTGGCACATACATGTACTTTATACATGTTAGGATGCATGTCCATAACAATTTGTTTCAAAATCTGGTCAAGGATGGCCGATTGACAGCAATCTGACTTTTTGGCCTTACTACTATATTTCCATAATTTATGTACCATTTTCATTCGAATTTGGCACATACATCATACATATCAGTGTGTTTCATAATCAGATCAAAGATGGCCAAATAACGGCTGTTTTTATTTTTGGCCATATTACTACTACACGGAACACATGTTTTGATGTAAATAAACAATCTGTTGTATACGCCACTTGTTTTTTGTAATTTGATTCAATATGACTGCCCAATGTCCAATTCTTGTGTAAAAGCACTAAATCATAATTTTTTACAAATCCATCTCCTATTAATGGTTTCAATCTAATCTCAATGACTTCATCAGCATCAAATTGATATGTCAGATCACAAAATTTGGCACGGGGACTGTGTCATTAACAATGACTTGTTTTCATTACCCTGTACGCTTATTGAAGAATGCTTTTCCACACATTTACCAGGTTTTTAGGTATGCAGACAGGTAGCTATCATATAAGATGTTCTGCCTCCAATATGTTTGGCACATCATGGTCAGATGCAGTCATAGTCACTGTGTTCACCGAAGGTTAGTATATAGTGGGGATTATAATATATTATACTAGACGAGTATAGTATTATAAGTAGTGTCTATTTCACTGTTATTACACTGTCTGAATTCATCATAATTTATTTGTATTTTTCTCTTGTCTATAGCGTACTGTCCAGCCGAAAAATTTAATGGCTTTACATGGCCAGAAACTATTGCAGGTCAGCAAGCAGAGTCATTGGAAAGGTGTCCAGCTGACAAACAATACAGTAAGCATGTCTAATCCAATCATTGCATTACCTCAAAATAAATAGAATTCTGTAGCATAGAAGAAATAAAAATCGTGATGCAGTGAAATACACACACAAAATTAACACTCTCTTAACTCATGCTTGTATATTTTTCCTGTTCTAATTTGTAGGAGGACAGGAAATGGCATCTAGAAAATGTGCAGGAAACTTTACAATTGGTGCATTGTGGGAGGAAGTTGATGAACAAGACTGTGGTAAAGACAGCAATATCAACTTGGTACTAGAACAATTGAGTGAGGTAAGTAGGATTAATATAACTTTGTAAGCTGTTGTTGTCATCATTGACTAAGACACATACCAGTGCACTATTGATGTAATGTTATTGTTATAATTGACCAACATACATACCAGTGCACTATTTGTGTAATGTTATTGTCATCATTGACTAACATACATACCAGTACACTATTGGTGTAATGTTATTGTCATCATTGACTAACATACATACCAGTACACTATTGGTGTAATGTTATTGTCATCATTGACCAACGTACATACCAGTGCACTATTGGTGTAATGTTATTGTCATCATTGACCAGCGTACATACCAGTGTCCTAGTGATGTAATGTTATTGTCATCATTGACTAACATACATACCAGTACACTATTGGTGTAATGCTATTGTCATCATTGACTAACATACATACCATTACACTTTTGGTGTAATGTTATTGTCATCATTGACTAACATACATACCAGTACACTATTGGTGCAATTTTATTGTTGTCATTGACCACCATATATACATGTGCACTATTTATGAAATGTTATTGTCATCATTGACCAACATACATACCAGTGCACTATTGGTGTAATGTTATTGTCATCATTGACCAGCGTACATACCAGTGTCCTAGTGATGTAATGTTATTGTCATCATTGACTAACATACATACCAGTACACTATTGGTGTAATGCTATTGTCATCATTGACTAACATACATACCATTACACTTTTGGTGTAATGTTATTGTCATCATTGACTAACATACATACCAGTACACTAGTGGTGCAATGTTATTGTCGTCATTGACCAACATATTTACATGTGCACTATTTATGAAATGTTATTGTCATCATTGACCAACATACACACCAGTGCACTATTGATGTAATGTTATTATCATCATTGACTAACATACATATCAGTACACTATTGGTGTAATGTTATTGTCATCATTGACCAACGTACACACCAGTGCACTATTGATGTAATGCTATTGTCATCATTGACCAACATACATACCAGTACACTATTGGTGTAATGTTATTGTCATCATTGACGAACATACATACCAGTACACTATTGGTGTAATGTTATTCTCATCATTGACTAACATTCATACCAGTACACTATTGGTGTAATGTTATTCTCATCATTGACCAACATACATACCAGTACACTATTGGTGTAATGTTATTCTCATCATTGACTGGCATACACACTAGTGTACTAGTGGTGCAATGTTATTTTCATCATTGACCAACATATATACATGTGCACTATTCATGAAATGTTATTGTTATTGACCAACATACACACTAGTGTATTATTGGTGTAATGTTATTGTCATCATTGACCAACATACATACCAGTACACTATTGGTGTAATGTTATTGTAATCATTGACCAACATACACACCAGTTCACTATTGATGTGATGTTATTGTCATCATTGACCAACATACACACCAGTTCACTATTGATGTGATGTTATTGTCATCATTGACTAACATACATACCAGTACACTATTGGTGTAATGTTATTGTCATCACTGACCAACATACATACCAGTACACTATTGGTGTAATGTTATTGTCATCATTGACCAACATACATACCAGTACACTATTGGTGTAATGTTATTGTCATCATTGACCAACATACATACCAGTACACTATTGGTGTAATGTTATTGTCATCATTGACCAACATACACACAAGTGCACTATTGATGTAATGTTATTGTCATCATTGACCAACATACATACCAGTGCACTATTGATGTAATGTTATTGTCATCATTGACCAACATACATACCAGTACACTATTGTTGTAATGTTATTGTCATCATTGACCAACGTACACACCAGTGCACTATTGATGTGATGTTATTGTCATCATTGACTAACATACATACCAGTACACTATTGGTGTAATGTTGTTGTCATCATTGACCAACATACATACCAGTGTACTAGTGATGTAATGTTATTGTCATCATTGACTGGCATACACGCTAGTATACTAGTGGTGCAATGTTAACTAGTGATGCAATGTTATTGTCGTCATTGACCAAAATATAGTTATGTGCACTATTTATGAAATGTTATTGTCATCATTGACCAACATACACACCTGTGCACTACTGATGTAATTTTATTGTCATCATTGACCAACATACACACTAGTGTACTAGTGATGCAATGTTATTGTCGCCATTGATCAACATATATACATGTGCACTATTTATGAAATGTTATTGTCATCATTGACCAACATACATACCAGTGCACTATTGATGTAATGTTATTGTCACCATTGACCAACATACATGCCAGTACACTATTGGTGTAATGTTATTGACATCATTGACCAAGATACATACAAGTGCACTATTTGTGTAATGTTATTGTCATCATTGACCAAAATACATGCCAGTGCAATATTGGTGTAATGTTATTGTCATCATTGACCAAAATACATGCTAGTGCAATATTGGTGTAATGTTATTGTCATCATTGACCAACATACATACCAGTGCACTATTGGCCCATATATCCCAGTGCACGATTGGGCCCATCTTACTAATTGATAGCATATTTCATATTATAACATACATTAATTTGTAATTGTAGGTAGAAATCACTGATGATAATGTGAAGAGAGTTGCTGATGAACTATGTGACTTAACAGAGGATTTTCTCAACCTGACTGTCGATGGTGTTTCTGACTCTGCCGATGTTCTTGTCCATATTGTGTCTGGAACAAACAGCTCACTCGTATGTTGTAATTTATGTAGTATTGTAATTGTATTTTGTCTGAAATATACACACTAGAGTTGATTAAGGACCCATAATTTCACAAATGCCAGGGTGAATTCTTCCAATGAGCTTTCAACTGCTTCAAAATTTAAAACATTTGAAATTCTTGAAAATCTGATATTCATAAATTTAAAATCTTCCACCTCTAGTATATATAAGCCTAATAGTGTTTAAACTGTGATCACTGAAATAAGTCATACATAGGGATGTAACAATAACAACAATGATTGTCCACATTTGTCCACAGGTCAGTAATGATTTATTGAACTCTGTTAACAACCTAATGAACGTGGACCCAGCTGTTTTAGGTGAAAGTCAACAATCTACGAAATCATCCATAAAGACGTTACAATCGTTACAAACCTATCTAGATGAAGTAGAGATGAGCACCAGTGAGAATTCTCTGCAGGAAGTAGCAACGCATATTGGATTCCAAGTATTGGAGGATGATACATCTTCTTTCTCAAATGGTGTTGGATTTGTATCAATTGCAGATGGTTCGTCATCGACAAACTTCTCTGTAAAAGCTGTAACCAGTCCAGTCGATATTGATGAGAACATGACTGATGCTTCCATTAGACTGCCAGCTAGCATACTCGAAGACTCGCCCATTAATTCCAGTAAGTTTTAATGGGCATGTCTATAGTGGTAATAGATCAGTGATGAAAATCAGACTCACCAGTGGTATAGCACTAATAGTTAATTAGTACCGGATAAGTGGGAGACACATCTGTAGTATTACCAAAATTATTTCTCAGTTTCTGCAATATAAATGTGTACGATTTCGAAATGCTTTATTCAGCTTTACAAATTGCATCATGGGAAAAAGTGTTATAAAATAATACAGCAGGCAGAAAATACTTTGTGCTGCATTCATCAAATAAAACATAATACACATCTTGCATTATTGGTGATTAGCATATTTCTTTTTCTAGAGAAAAAAAATATATATATTGCAAAAAAACTATATTGCAAAACAACAAATGTCGTAATTCTTGTTTGAAACACACGTTTTCTTAAACACCGAATCTAACAGATATGCTGTATTTGGAATACTGTTAATTGATCTTCATCACTAAGGCAACATAATTAATTTTTATAAAATTTTAAAAGTTTATAATCACAAACGTCTAGTAAAATTCAGGACGGAAATGATTGACAATGGAAGGTAACCATCACTAATTGCAGTTTTAATTTAAATCAAGGCGTCTGAACTTCATATTTTATGAAGTGTTAAAATGAGTTTAATATTATTTGTTTTCTTTTCTAATTTCTAGAGACCAGGTTCACATTCATCATTTTCCAGAGTGCTGCATTATTCCAGTCATCTATTTCTTCCTCATCAGCCAATAATGACTTGGTTACCATGGTGAATTCTCGTGTCATATCAGCAAGCATAGCTGGACGGCAACTCAAGAACCTTAAAGATCCTGTTAAAATTACTTTGTTACCAGTTACGGTATGTTAAGGTTTTATAAACACTATCACCATTATATTTATTACTGTTTTTTTTCTGTCTAATACATTGGACATTGTTCAAGTGTTTCATCTTTTGTATTAAAGAGAGAGTATATACAGAGAAAGTGATAGAGATTTGGAAATGGCACATGACTATGTGTGTATATTTAGGAAACAAATAGTAATAGCCTGTTTCAAGAAATAGGCTTACTTTGCCATGCAGATTGTGAAGGCATTGCTAGCTTTTATCCATGTTTAGCTCCGCTGTCGACTTTGTCGAGCGGAGCTTATCATATGAGTGATTGTCCGTCAGCGTCCGTCGTTCGTTGTCGTCCGTGTCAATGTTTTACTTTTTCGACTTCTTCTTGAAAACTACAAACCTGAATGCTTTGACACTTGGTATGTATGTACCTGGGGTAGACCTCTCTTAGATTTGTTCATTTCATGATAATATCTTCAATTCTCTAATTTTGGTGAATATTTTTGTAATTTTTGGTAAAAAGTGATATTTTTGACTTCTTGTTTAAAACCGCAAGTCCAATTGCTTTGATATTACATATATAGGTACTACATGTGGACCTCTCTAAGATTTGTTCATTTTGTGATGATATCTAAAATTCTCTAATTTTGGTGAATATTTTTGTCATTTTTGGTAAAAAGTGATATTTTCGACTTCTTGTTAAAAACCAAAAGTCCAATTGCTTTGATATTACATATATAGGAACTACATGTGGACCTTTCTCAGATTTGTTCATTTTGTGATGATATCCTCAATTCTCTAATTTTGGTGAATATTTTTGGTAAAAAGTGATATTTTTGACTTCTTGTTGAAAACAGCAAGTCCAATTGCTTTGATATTACATATATAGATACTACATGTATCAGATTTGTTCATTTCGTGGTGATATTTTAATTCTCTAATTTTGGTGAATATTTTTGTCATTTTTTGTAAAAAGTGATATTTTCGACTTCTTGTTAAAAAGCAAAAGTTCAATTGCTTTGATATCACATATATAGATACTACATGTGGACCTTTCTCAGGTTTGTTCATTTCGTTATGATATCTTAAATTCTCTAATTTTGGTGAATATTTTTGTCATTTTTGGTAAAAAGTGATATTTTTGACTTCTTGTTAAAAACAGCAAGTCCGATTGCTATACATACTATACATATTGTTCATTTTCTAATGATATCTTCAGTTCTTCAATTGAAATGTGCCTTGCTAACAGCGGAGCTATCTCAGCCGAGAGGCTGCTTGTTTAATTATGTGTGGAGTCACAGTATGTCATATAACTTTGCTGACATGGGATTTCCATGGGATAGGACAACACAGTAATATAGTAACATAAATGTTGTTATACTTTTCGAAATGTTCATGGAAGAGGCTTTCTGAAATTTTCATTATATTAAAAGAAAACTGAATTCTTTTTATTATTTCTAGAAAACAGACTAAAAACAAAAAATCTAGTTTGCCAAATGGTTTGATAGATTGGAAATTGGATATTATGACATTATGCACATAATTTTATTTTCAGATTCGATTCAAAATGGTCGATAGACTATTATCACTGTTACTTTCAGCTACTGTTATACCACCTACAATGTACCATTACCCAGCCAATCAGGGGACATTGTGAGATTCAAAAAACAGGACCTATCCAGGGTCTTGACATCATGGATAACTTTTATTATGTCCTTTTCAGTTGGGAACTGGAAATCTTTAAGGCTAATTAAATACATGATGCAACAAGTCATTTGGTTTTTTTTAATAGTACTACTAAAATACAATAGAATTTTATTGAAGCCATCCAATTACTTGCCATTTAATCGATATCGCAACTGAAGCATGACTTGTGTGCCACGGTCTAAAAGAATGTGTTCACACCAACATGATGATATCTATGATATCGCAGCTTTCTAGATCAAGTAAATTGTCCAAAATGCCATTATATACACTGGCAATTGGTTTATTAATATTAATTCATAGTAAGTTATTAATTATCGCATAAAAGGAATTAACACTGATGACAGAAAAAAACAAACATATGCACTTTTAAAAAAAGCACTTGCATGTTTAAAAGTAATGGATGCTGCAACTTGCTACAGTACTACACATTACTGTGGCCTAATTAAGTATTATGTTTTGATGGTCAAGCACATATGTGTTTTGCATTGACTGATCAATGTGCTTTTGATCAACGAGCCATCGATGGGTTGTTGTACTGTCACTCAATTGTCACATCATTGATTGTCAGACCAATGAGGGTTGGCCAAATGAGAAGCTAGACCCAGTGCTGCAAACATCTAGTCAGCATGGCCTGTACTCAACTCTGAATAAATGTCGTTAGTTCTTCAGATTCACATATTGAAAACACCCTAATTTTATTCAAGATAGTAGTGTCAAATGTTATTTTAATACCCTTGTATGAATTGTTGTTAGTTGCTTAATTGTTCTGCATCAATTAACATTTAGCAACATTGATAATAGTAAATTACACCAATATATGACCATGACTCTTTGTATCTAAATGTGACAATTGTTAATTATTAAAATATAAAAATTGATATGATAATTAATTACTTAATTTTAAAAATATTATTATTAAAACTTACAATAATGACTTTTATTTACTTCATGAATACAACATGTTAATAATGCAAATATAGATTACCATTGAAGTCACAAATGAATTAAATATATGTATAATAATTCATTCAATAATTATAGATCCTGTTCGAATGCAAAGACCTTTGGATTGACCACTGTCTGGTTATGTGGGCACCCCCCCCCCCCCTGTCGCTCACATAGGCCTGATGTTTCGGATCTGAGTAAATATGGCCAATTAGAAAATATATCTGTGCTCAAAATTCATTATAATCTAGTATCTAAACTCACAATATTGTTCTTGAACAGATACCATCCGAGGACGTGTATGACAGTACTCAGTGTGTCTATTGGGATTTTGATGCAAATAATGGTTATGGTGATTGGTCCAGTGAGGGCTGTCATTTCGATCATGTTAAAAACCAACGAGTTGTATGTCATTGTTATCATCTCACAAACTTTGCAGTTCTCATGGTAAGTACTCATAAACATAATTTACATAACAATTTATTATTTCAAGAAACATTGATGAACTTTCAATTGATTCGGGTTGAAATTTGTGCATATAATTTTAACCATGCTGTTCTCGTTGAAGATGTGTGAATTGTATGCTGACTTGCATATATTAATAAATTTTAACAATGTGAAGACAACTTAAACGCTGCTCCTTTAATTTGAATTCAACACTTCTTATCTAGAATGTTGGTATGCAAAATGTCTTAAAGTTCTTGAGCAGTAATTTGCATATTTGAATTATTACAGATTGGTGAAACCTCCACACTGTTAACAATTTAAATTCAACACTCATAATCTTGAAATTCTTCAAGATTGTTCACTGCATGTATCATGAAACACCAGTTGATGACATTTAATACATTAAACAATAAATTTGTGGGTACGTTTCTACAAATAATAATATTGACCTGGACAAATGCTTATAATTCATTAATTTCATTCAGTACCCACTGAACTATTTCACAATATGTGATTCAGCTTGTTTAAAAAATGTTTGACCTTGTTGATGAAATTGCCTATGCGTTGTGGAATTTCAATCAATTTATGAGATGAATATTTCCAGTTTGTTTGTCATGTCTTAAATATTTGTCTCTAGTACCTAATGTTTTTGACAAGATGTTTGTATACTGGTGTATGTAATAATCAGTGTTTTGATACTCTATCCAGGATATGCAAAGAAAACCAATGGAATTAATCCATATGTTTGCATTGGATGTAATCAGCAGAGTGGGTTGCCTTATCTCGGTAGTAGGATTATTGATAACAATGTGTACATACATCGCATTCAGGTAAGTAAATTAAGGACACAAATAATGTGTGTATTACATGTTATGTGTGTACACATTTTATCTAAGCAATCATAGACCTCAGCCGTGAACTTCTTGAATAACTGCATTATTTTTTGTACTGCAAAATACATTGCATGGAGCTACAAAGGTATTCTAAACTGTGTACCAAATTTGTGTATCAGATTTTGGTTTGAAGAAATACCAGTTTATTTGAATACATTACTGGTATGTTCAGTGTTATTCAAATTGGGAGTCTTATAAATCAATATGATAAAGTTATGCATCTTTGATATTCATGTATTGTGATTGAGATTGAATGATATTCAAATGACATCATCAATTAAACTTATTCTGAACAATGGTATTACAGAGTCTAAAATCAGATTTTATTGTGAAAACAGAAAATTCAAAAAACAAAAACATGTAATACAAGAATTCAGAATAGAATTCATACTGTTCACTACCCCATCAACCTTTTCTAGAATATATATAATAAGTTTGTTTATACTCATTCATTTATTTTATTTCAGGAAATTGAGAAAAACAAGGCCACAGAGAATTTTGATAAATTTGTGTATTTCCCTGCTCTGTCTACTTATTGTGTTTCTCTGTGGTATTGATCAATCACAGAGCTACATTGGTTGTATCTCGGTGGCTGTACTGTTACATTATTTCACCCTGACAACGTTTATGTGGATGGCGGTAGAGGCATTCAATATGTACCTAGCTTGTGTTCGTGTCATGCCAATCTACATAAGTCACTTTATGTTGAAAGTCTCTCTTGTAGCTTGGGGTAAGTCACAGTATAATGCTGGCTTAACAATGATTGTTTTTAAATGAGAATAAGCTTCTATAGCTGATAAAGATGCTGTCATATCAACAGCAGATACATAATTAAGTCAAAGTACTTTTTATCTTTCATCCAACAAATAATTTATTTAGATTTCTCAAAACAGATTTTTTTAATCTCAAACTATTGTAGAATCCTTGAACTTGACTACAGCTCGTCTTTTTGATTCAGTGTGATCACATGGCTTTCGAAATTCCGAAATTGACACAATTAGGTTTTCGTAAAGTACAGAATTTACAAGAGGATTAATAGTCTTCCTCACATATACTCGATACTTTGTTATTAATTGTTATTTATATAATTGCTAACACTTTTCCTAATCCTCGTTATAGTGAACCTCAGACTAGTAATACATTAGTCTGAGAGTGAACATGGGCATGTGGCTTAATTGTCATTGTTTTTTCTCCAATGCAGGTTTACCATTGATTCCTGTTGTGATATTGCTTTGCTTAGATGTGGATAACTACCATGTTAGCGAATATGACTTGTAAGTATTACATCATTCTCATTGCTATCATACTATTAGTATTATATATGTCCCTTTGTAAGTCTGACGGAAAGATAATATATACATATGCAGCAGTTTATTTAATTCATCCAACATTATAATATAAACATAATGCAGCAGTTTATTTAATTCATCCAACATTATAAATAGTTACTATAAAGTTTATCACACATTTATCGTATTCAATGAATATACATATGGTTTTATTTCAGTTGTTTCATGGCGTTGTATCCTTTCTACTATGCTTACCTCATACCAATAGGGATTATCTTGTTCTACAATATATCAGTGTACATTATGGTTATTAAAACACTATGTCAAAGATCCAAAGTTACCGCAGTAGACAAACCTCGTCATCAGAGAATTGGATGGCAGATTCGAAACAGTCTCTGTATTCTGGTGCTACTAGGTTTGACCTGGACATTTGGATTCTTCGCTATAAGCGATGCTTCGCTCATATTTCAGTACATGTTCTGCATCTTCAACTCTCTGCAAGGGTTTTTCATCTTCGTTTTCTACTGCCTTGACCAAAAGGATGTGAGAGATCAATGGAAAGCAGCATGTGCTTGTTGCCACGATAGACAGAAGAAAAACAAGTACCGCATCACTGGGTTTGATCTGATTTACCACAATCCAACTTACTCTGGTTCTCATAGGAGTAGTTTTACATCAACAAAACAGTTTACTATCTCTCAGCAAGGGATTCTGTCTGTCACAGAATATCCCCGATGAGTCCACCTCCTAATTATATGCAATAAGATATGTAACTTTCTATCTAAACTTTTCCATTTTCAGTGATTTATAACTTTAAGTTGAATATGTTTAAGATACACGGTCAGCAAGCAGGTGTCGCCAAATTGGCAATTCACAAAAGGTTTCATTGAAAATGAAATGTCTGATTTATATGAGAATTAGTTATAAATAACTCCAATAGCTTCAATTCAAGCTTTGAAGATTAGTTATAAATAACAATCGATATATAAACAAATATTATATTGTGCATATTTTGTATTCTTCTATGATGCATACTTCACATGAGGAACACACCGTATCAATGTTTTGGTTGTAAATGATATTAGTATTTCAACGCGTGGAAATTAAAGTGTCGAGTGTGTTTTAATGTGCTGAACTCTATACAACTACAACAAAGTCTTTATTCAAAACACAAAAGCCGTACATTAGTAGTTATTTTCAGTAGCACTATCACATTCTCCTCAATGGGAAAACCTATTTGATCTATATTGTAACATTTTGAAATTTGGGTGCAACGTTGTATTACCATTCATTTTCATTGACCGTGTACCTTAAGACACTATTTGTATTTTCTAAATGCAGCCTAACACAAATTGTTTATTTTATCTGTTGATTTATGCAGTTTATCCTTATACTAGTTATACCAATAGAATGAATATCCCCAATGTTCACAAAATGTGCGAATATGTCATAGTACAAGCTTGTAAGAAGTGAATCATTCCATGCTACAAGTAACAGCTTAGGAAAACAAATGTAAAAGAACACTTTGTATCATAATACATCATATATGCTACTCACTGAATCAAAATAACATCTGGCTTTATTCTAAATAAGTAAGTAAGCCAAGCACATGATGTGATGCAACATATTATCTGTATGTTCAGTGTACAGTGTGCCACTCAGTATTATGTTGTGTATATATATCATGTATATAATGGTCTAAGGTCGATATACTAGACACCTCTTTTTCATGTAAAATCGTCTCATTATTTCTTGTTTGGTTTATATTGTAAGATATATTAATTGAATTTTATATATTGATACTAGTTCAATAATTAAGTAATAATTTCATGAGTTATCTAGCAGTACAACACGCTTTATTGGCTCATTAAATGCCAAAGTCCATTTGTGCCACCTTTTGCATAATTTATGTTAATTGATCATTACCCGTAGCCAATGGAAAATTGTATCCTTTAGGTTCAAAATTAAAACGCAGCAATTGTGTAAAAATATATATAAATAGTAAGATAATATATAAAGAAAGAATGTGATGCTCAAAGGGTTAAAAATGTGTATCACAAAGTGACGTAGATGATTCAGTAGTCACGTGAGTTATACATTGAGAAATATACCAGTATTAGGGGAAATATACCAGTATTTCAGAGTGCATCACTGAAGTCAGTGGAACACTTTGTATTATATGTCCCTGAAACCCAGTATTATTGTTTTTTATAACTTTTTATTATTCAATATCTACTTAATTATTTAGCTTCTGTTGCGAAATTTGTTAATGCCATTTACATTGTTTTATTTAAGAATTGTCTGTTTATTGAATACACTGCTTAATAGTATATTAAACACATAGATGTGAATAATTATAACGTCTGCACTAACTAAAATGTTTAACTTTAAAAATTACGATTTGGTGACCTTTAGTGTGTAAATGAAATATTCTCATAAAGTGATGAGATATTATCAAAGAGCGGAGCTGTTCGTGTGATTGTGATTGTCCGTCATCGCCCGCCGTCCTACAGTACATCTTCTGTCCGTCCATCAACAATTAGATTGGTATCTTCGTCTTGTAAACTACCAGCTTAATTGGTATTTAGTATTTGATAATTGGTATATACTAGTATGTACCTTGAGTAGACCTCTGTCACATTTGTTCATTCAGTGACAATATCAGTTCTTCAGAATATGTTTTTGAAAGCGTTGGATTCTCCCAAACAGTTCTATCGTGAAGAGTTATTGTTTATTGTTGGGTCAATAAAAATTCGAACAATAATAAAAACGTCAGATCTTTACGATACCTATTTTTTAAATGGAGATTGATTGATTCGTAAATTGAACTTAATATAGAAGAGTGTTAATATCAATTGTAAATAATTTTACGCACTCAAATGTAAAACATCATCAACACGGACATGTGTGTTCGGTGTTATAATTCAGTCTCCGTCTGTCCTTCCGTACGTCCAGAATTATATTTCAGAACCCTCTGGACCAAATATGTTCATTAGATGTGCCTAGTACTTTATCTGGGACATGTGCACATACAGTGGTTGACTGATTCAATACTAGATGGCTGACTGGTAGCCATTTTGTTTTTATTGAATATATGATATTTTATGCACGTTTTGTCAGTTTTTGTTCAAGATTTGGTACACAGATTATACATGTTTGGACACGTGTCTATGACGATTCGTTTCGTGATCAGATCAAACATGATCGGCTGGTAGCCATTT